CTGACAGCTAATTGTTTCATCTTGCCACCCTTGTTTGTCCTCTTTTAAAGATTGAAAGTCTTATATTCCTCATGTTTATATCCGCCAATTGCTTGGCATTTCTGCTTTTTCTGGCCTATTTTCTCTGACACTGGCTCACTGAGCTGTGGAGAGCAGGTTCATTCAGCCACACCTGCAATTTTCTCTTTGTCCCCTTCCTCTTGTCACCATCATTCTCACCTTTCATTGTCTGTCTAGTGTCCTTGTCTAGACGGCCTGTCCATCCGTCCCTTCAGGCAGCTGTCTGGAAAAAATAAGACCGAGAGCTGAAGCTGCCACGGCTCGTTCATCAAGAGCAGAGAAGGAAATATGATGCATAGTGAAATAATTGTATAGTTGCAGAGCTGTGTTTGTGTACAGTGTGAGCCCAAGTGTTAAATGATCTGTGTTTCTTAAGGAGGAAATTTTGGTGTGATTCCAAGCACTGAAATGAACAACACATTGTGGGTGGATGCTTGCTGTCTTAACTGTTTTTTACCCATCTCTACTTGGCCCACAGCTATAAGAATCTCCTTATATCCTATTATTGTGTAAGTTCTTGTTAAAACGCCATACAACTCAGCCTTGAGTTGCATTAATGAGTAGGGTTACGCACAGAGCAGATTAGCTTCCCAAACAGGACAAAAAGATGGCACACCCCTCCATGCAGCTAAACAATTGAAGCCAGATGAAGTTTCGTGGTAGGTGTGTTTTTAAGTGTGTGTGATTTCAGCTGTGGTCAAGGAGAGGCTTTGAGTTAGCAAAAGATGGCTTCTGCTGCTGAGCAGCACGCTGACCAAGCGCATCTGCCCACTATTGTTGTCTTGCCTTGAGCACCGTTTCTTTTCGGTTCCCATGGAAACCAGGCCCTCATGCTCCTGCTCCGCCTCCCAGCCTGCTGCTCACTCCTTGCTGTTCTTTGAGGCCTCTGCTTGGGCTCACATTACCATGTGCATACATGTGTGTTTTTGTTGTTGATACAAAGATGGTTTCCTTCATCTTACATACCCACGTCAGAATAAAAGAGCAGAACCAGGTTTGTGTTTTTGTGTCAGTTTTTGCAGATTCCACGTTTTCAGATTACCTCAACATAAATGTGATGCCTGAAGGAGATAATTAGATGTGTAGAGAGGCTGGATTCCTCAGTCCAACAATCCCAGCATCCCCTCTGCTTTAATTCCAAAATAGGATTAATCTCCATTGGTGTCACAGAGCTTCACTGAATAGGATGCTTATGAACTGATTTTTTTCAAACCCTATACAACAGCACTGCTTGCACCCTTGAGATGTAGAGAAATAAAGATGGGACTTTTAGAAGAGGAAAATAAAACCTGAGAAAAAATATTTAGAATGATCGGGTGTAGCAGTGGCAATTTCTTTGAACTCAAGTTACCAATTTTTCCATTTTCTGAATAAACAGTTATCAATGTTTCTCTTTCTTTCCCCAATCTGTTCAGCTTCACTTAGATTGGCATCCAAATTGAATTTCCCCTGACACCAAAGCAGACCAGTTTACTTTTAAGTAAAGTATGTGCTTTCTTACCAACACCTCTAAAGAGTTTAAAGGCAGCATTAAAGGATATCTTCCTAGTGATAACAGTAGTGTGAGAATACTTCTCATTTGCCCTGCATTGTACACTCCGGTGCATGTTTTCACAATAATAGTTTTGCGGTATCGCCATAAGGACAAGCCCCTTTTTTAAAATACTTCTGACTGTTCAAAGATCAAGCCAGAAAATGGCCAGCTTGATTGGTAAAAGTTGTATAAAAGAACCATACAGGATGTGGAGTATGAGTTGGCAGCACTGGTACATAGCAACAGTGCTTCAAATAGTACTTCTGGTTGGTATATCCATCTATTCAAAATTTTCAGTGGTGCACATCAGACAAAGGGCTATGAGCTGTACTAGCAAATAAAAACTATTTCAGCTGTTATAATGTTGAGTTTGATGTTTATTAACATCTTACATTTGATATAATTTATCTATCTTTCCAAACAAACATGAACATCAATCTTGTATACCAATCTCTGTTGCAAGAATAACCATATGGCATATGGGAGCTGGGGAAACCATGTCATGTCTGTTTATATAACGGCACCATTGATGCCAATAGGCCTCCTAAAGGGGTGTCCCAGTTTAATCGCTCTTGCCTTTCTTCAAATAAAAGGTCAGTGGAATGATACAGTTTAAATACAGGGTAGGAAGTGGTATTACTAAGAAATTGGATTCAGCCTTACAGTCAGCAAGTTGCCAAGGTGACAGATATAAGGACCAGTGCATTAACAAGGCATACCTTCTGCAGAAGTGATTGGAGGAAAAAATGTCCTGTTCCAATGCAGGTGACAGGGACCACTGAAAATTTGATCAAGTTGATGTGGGAAGGACATAAACTATTATTAGATTAAAAACATTTGCATTCAGTCGTCTTTACCCCTAACGTCAGCTTAAACTTTACAGATGTCATTGCCTGGCATGTGGACATCCCCTTGTTGTGTTCTGTGCGTCTTAGAGTTGTGTCAGAAAGCAGCCATGAAGCTCCTCTTAAAACTATGAGAGGAGAGAGTTTCTGCCAGAGAGTCAAACTGTCTCTCTTACTCCTCTATCTCGCTGTCTGAGGCAAGGCTGTTAATAATGCAAGAGGATTAGCTGATTTATGTGTGCTGTAGGCAACGAGGGAAGCTGGGGTTCCTGGGGGCAACATGCAAAAAGAGAAGAAAGGCACAAGTGTGTGCACTGTGGAGGGTGGTGGCATACAGTCGCCCAAGGTGGCTGGATGATGGAGGTTGGATGTTTGCCTGGTGAGCACGCTGGCCATAATCCACTCCCCCCAGTTCCCTCTGACCCCCTTCGCCCTGTAGTCCATAGAGATGTGCCAAGACGACTCCACAGGAACAGGGTGATTGGAAGTGGCATAAGAGAAAGAAGTTGCTAGGAATAGGAGCTGAAAAGCCCCAATTTTGTTGTATATCACCGCTGTACTTCACGTTTCCCATTATGTTACAAATATCTGAAGCAATGGTTTCATGGTGAAGTTATAAGTATTAAACAATTTAAGTAGTTAATCTACAAACCTATAGATTTATATTCACCTATGACCACATATCAGCTGATTTCATGAGTTACTGATAGGATGATATACTGTACAAGCACAGGATTTGTTTTTGGTTGTTTTTGAAGGGAACATTGAACAAGAGAGTTTCACCTGTCAGAGGCTTAAGTGACTTAAATGTATGAAAATTTGTGTCCATGCCCACAAATAATATCTATGTGCACCACTCTTTGCTCCTGTACTTTGGCCTATGCTACATATGCATTTCTACTCGGGTAAAAGGGAGAGGCTGATTGGTTTATCCCTCCTGCTTGACTAGAGGATATGCTCATTCCCTGCCAGGCCGATTAAGACTTCCAAACTTCCACTTCTCATAGTCCCAGAAAAGGGTTGATTAGTGTTTAAAGAATGTCAAGTCACACAATGTACCTTGTAAGATCAGCTATCATAAGACAAGGATAATTAATTTTTGCAAAGTCTTTCTTCTATGCATTTTCTTACAGCTGTGCATATAGAAAAAATGTGCACGTGTGTTCTCATGCAGGCAAATTCATACATATGCATGAGACTTCATGGTGGTGTCACTTTGGGGAAATGAATGTGCAAAGAGCTGGGCACTCGGGCCCCTCACTCAAGTGCACTGGCGGGCGCGTAATGGGAATGCAATTTAAGCAGTGGTTAATCAGTGTGTTTTCTCTAGCCTGCCCAGCAATGCATAATAGACAATCAGCCTCCAGTCACATGGGCGTTGCTACAAATGGTCAATTACTCATCATAGTCTTGTTAAACACAAGGTTCAGCCAGCCAGGGACAGATTGCTCTGCTGGTGCCATCATTATAGTGAGGAACAAAGCAAAGATATGCTATGTGTCAGAAAGAACCAGGGAGAAAGGAAAGGAAAGAGGAGACAATGATTTTGAAGGGGCACAGACATGGTGTTTCTCTGCTCGTCAAAATAGGAGAGAGAATAGAAGCAAATGGCTATTGTGACAAAGCAAAGTAAGGAGGAAAAAAAAGAAGCGGGAAACCAAAATGGAATCATGAGAAAAGGAAAGAAAGAATAAAATAGGACTGTTATAGTCACGCTGAGAAACGCAAGACTGGAAGAAAAAAGAAAGAGTGGAGGTGAAATGGAGCAAAGCAATAAAAGAGATTGAGGGCATGAAAGTGAGAGATAGAGAGAACAAGATAATGGAGGGAGGGAGAGAAATTGAGAAAGGGACACTGGGGAGCAAGAGCAAAAGTGTGTGAGAGCATGAGGGAGAGAGCCTGAGAAAGTGTGTATTCAGCTGTGAGATGAGACCTCTGTCTGCCCATGGGGAGAGTTGGTGTGAGGGGTGAGAAGACGAGGGGAGAGGACTCTGCTGACAGTGGAGGAGGAGGAGGAGGAGAGTCTCACACTCTTTCTCACACCCACTCTCACCCATTATTTTTTCCAACTTGATGATTCCACCTTAAAGAGCCAGTTGGCAACATACTCTTTCATTCTTTCATTTCTTTCAACCTTTATTTATACAGGTTAATCCCACTGAGCCTCAGGGACTCATTTACAAGAGAGACCTGGTTTTAACAAAGAGTTTAACATCTTTGTCTAACATCTATCTATGTAACAAAAAAAGTCCATGCTCATTAATCCAGGTATACAATCCAACATTTTTCAGGCAAAACTGGTTTGTTCCACTTTGGAGTAAGCTGTTGGGGGGGGGGGGGGGGGGGGGATCGGTTTTGCTGTGTGTTTCCTTGACTGATGAAGCCTTCCGATCGAAGGCGAAACGTTTCAGCACAAAAAAAGAAACTGGCCAGCTGACCCGACTGAAAAATGTTGGATCTATCTATGTAGATATTATGTCATTTTTTAAAAATATGTAGTCACATTCGGTCTAAACCTGTTTTTTTTCTCTCTCCCTACCATTGTCCCTTTGGTGATGCAGGCAGCGGACTGATGGGCAATTCTTCCGCCTCTTTCATGGGGACCTTTCTGGCCAGTAGTCTGGGTTCCCCTCCTTCCCACCCACCTCATCCCTCCCGTCCACCCTCTTCGCCCTCCTCACCCTCCTTCCGAGGTGGACCCCACTCCAGCGCCTCACAAATCTGGTTTCCCCATTCCCATGAAGGTACTTGACATCACACAACATAGACATACACCCACAACCTCACCCCATCACCTTACCGTTGCGTCAAAACAAGATGATATTCTTGTCTTGGCAGTACTGAAAACAAAGTTTTGCATAGTGTACTGTTACTCCAATATTGTTTATTTTAGGGTTATATAAAGTTTCTTCTAAAGCACAGCTTGTAATCTGGCTTGCTAGGTTGGGATTCAACTCTTTTATTTGTACACTAAAAATAGTCCTGGCATGCTTTGGATGGAGTGCCATGCCACAGTTTCTGGGTATGGATTGAGAGTCAAAAGTTCAGCCGTGGAACCTTGTACTATTCAGTTCATGTCAACAGAAGTGTCACTGCAGACTGTGAAGCTGCACATGTGAATGTGGACCAATAAAAAGTTGCAGTGATTGCAAAGCTTACATCTGGCATCTCCACTACAGCTTAACAGGGCAGTTTCCACCCAACACCAAGCATTATGAAACTCAAACTACACAAAGAAGGGCAAAGATAGGCCAATATAATCACAGACTTTAATTTAATAATTCACATTTACATAGGAGTACAGTAGTCCCTTGGTACATCGTGGTTCGTTTATCATGGACTCGCTCTATCGTGGTTTTTCTAAATAAGATTGGATATGGCACACAATTGTCTGATTGATGGATGAGCTGCACGATTGGCATGGAATTTTTATTTAAAATAAATTATTTAAAATGATTTAGCACCCGCTGCTCCTTTGTGCAGCCCAGAGCTGTAGAAAAAACGTCCTCCTGCGCCTTTGTGCAATCCATGCTGCAGGATAAACTTCCTGCTGCAGCTGATCAGCTGTTCTCAGTGCAGAGCATAGAAGAGGGCGTGGCCAAGAGCGCTTGCAGATGGCTGAGAGCAGCAGAAGCAGGGAGCTGAAAGCATGACATTCTGTGCTCTTTTAGAGTGTTCAAAGTTTGGAAACATTGTTTAGAATATTGCAAGAGTGTGGGAAGGGTTTAAAATGATATATATACACACACAAATATACATATATATATATATATATATATATATATATATATATATATATA